CTGAAGAAATTCTTCTTTACTTGTTCTGTATTTTAAACACGATAAATATAAATTGTGGATTTTCATGTTGCTATACCAGTGTTTCTGAAAATGGCATTCTTAAAATTACAAATGATCCATATTAAAAGTTTGATTGAAACCCTTACATTTATATGAATATAGTTTTACTTATATATAAATACAGAGATTTAGTTAATAGTGATGTAGTGTAATATAATTTTATTACTGTTTTCCAGAGGATATTACAGAATTGAATAAGGATGAAGATATTCAAGTTACTCTAAGGGAAGTTTGAATTTATAGATGAATATGATTTTAGCATTTTAAAATCTTACATTCTGCTTTCAAAAGTGAGCATTCTCTATTTTCTCCCCCTATTTTTTTTTTTAATAATATGGTAGAAAACCAAAATTCCTATTGAAGCATTGATTAAGAACCTAATTTTGTTCTGATAATAAATAATTGAATTGCTCAGTTGTTTTCGAAATGAACTGATGTCACCTGTAGGTACTTCTAATTGAAATTGTCTCTCAACTGCAAAATTAGTAGTATTTTAGAAATTTACAATCACTAGGAAAGAAAGATCATTTAATTTATAATGAAGAACTGTCTTAAAAAACAAGTCAGCACCTTTGCTGAAGTCCACTAGTAGATTTTCACTAAGATGAATGATTCCAGCCTGATTAGCGAGAATCTGCTTCTGGTATGTGGAAATATCTGTGAGGCAATCTCTAAGTTGTAAAGCAGCATTCATTTCACAAAGTCATAACTTTCTTTCCTTCTGAAGAAAAAAAAAAAAAACAAAAAAAAAAACAACACAAAAACACAGATGCTACAAAACTGCAAAACTGTTGCTCAATGACAGAGATGAGGAAGCTCAATCTATTACCAGTGGCTAGATAACGTAGGTATTTATTTCATTTAGGCCACCTATTGTATGACAGTGATTTTACTAAGAGTGGTCCATATTGTAATAGCTGACCTAAACGTAAAAGTTCCAAGCATCGCAGTGTCCTGAGAAAGACACCATTTAAAATGTAAACGCATTAAGTCTTATTTTCTAAGGCAGTAACAATTGAGCTGACACAACTTCTGCCAAAATCAGTAGAATCAGTATTAAAATTCAACCAGTACGAAGACACAACACAGGAGTTTTCTACTAATATGATTAATACATCGACTAGTAATCGATTTCTTAGGAAAACTCTTTACACTTAAATTCAATTATTACGTTAAACTCTAATAAAATATGACCAATAAAATAGGTCAGTAAAAATTCCAATGTCCTCATCTGTATACAGCACACTTCCTTAAGTCTTTACAAAATAGTGTGCTCTGTTAACAAGTCAACTGTTTTAGTAGGAAAAACTGCTTAAAGTATTTATTGATTTTTTTTATTTTTTTTTTCATTTTGATCTATATAAGGCTGATCACTATATTTTTATCAACATTCATTGACAGGTAAATCTTGAAGACTTAGAGCTTTGCCATTAACTCTATCAGAGTTGGGAATCATTGCTAAGTAAACAGTGCAAAAAGCATGAATTATTGTTATTGGGTTCTATATACATTGACTGGTAGTTAATTATTATAATAAAAAAAGACCAGAAGCGCATGATGATGGCTGTTTTATACTATCTGGAATGTATATTGCTCTTACTATCCAGATAAAGGTGAATTCTCATTAATTGTAATGTTTATTTTACATATAATTGGGATGACTTGTCTCTGAAAAGAAAAAAAAATGATGTTTATAATGTTAAAAAATAGATTAATAAAATTATGTTGCTAATTTGAATGCAAATATTTTTTTTTACTCTAAGCAAAGTAAATGTTTTGTTAAGATTTTCACAATTTGTGGATGACATTTCTACAAAGAAGCACAGTGCATATTTTAACTTAAAATTAATTATAAAATTAATTATAACGAATGTATATATAGGTAAAATGTACATACTGTTTTCATATGGATATTATACTTCCATATGATGCTTTCACACAATCTAACACAAAACTGCCCAAAGAAGGAGCTCGGACATCTGTCACTTTTACAGTAAACCTACAATTGAACCTACCATCAAGAGGGCAAGCTCCAGGATCCTGGCTAATAAAGTAGGATGGATCAAAGCTGATTTCTGGGAAACCTCTACATCTATGGGAAAGATGGTGAGGGCACCCAAATAGCAACTGTTAAAGTCTCTCAAGACCTTGAAGGACAGATACCAGTGCCAAAAATATACCTTCATTCTACTTCTGAATAGACACAAGAGGTCTAACAAATTCTGTGGGTCAGAAATGCTGTTCTCCTATTTGCAGTCACATTGTCAAATTAATGATCATTTTGTGAAATAAACATATATGCATTGTGATACTGATATCTGAAAAAAAAATACAAAGAGCACTTTAATTGTCTTCTGTTACAAATTGTGCATGATCATTCTAAAACTCATTTTTGCTTGGATTCTTCTGGCATATATACTACCATTTTCTGATCTGACACAGTTCAAACGTGACACCTTCCTTTTAATGGTATAATTCTTTTACTAAAGAATCAAAACAGTTTTAAACTCACAGTCTACGTCCTACAGACTATATTCAGAGACACCAAGATTATAACTGGAAAACTTTTACACCTGCTCAAGCAGTGCTAGCTAAAAAATGTCTCTATGCCACGTTTCCTAATGTTTTGAATCTTTTTAAACACAAGCTGTGTTGTTAAAATTAATGTGGCTGTTTGAGTTGTATGACAGAAAAATATTTTAATGTGTACCGTTAAGTGATACCTCTCATCTATCTCTATTGATAATATTTAACTACTCTGTGATAAACCAGGATTGGACCTAAGCCCAGAAAAAATCTCATTTCCATTTGGTAAGGAAGATTGTTTAAAATAACCTATGTTTTTCCTCTGTGTTGCTTAAGCTGTGAGTTCTCTTGTTGAATACACCTGCAGAGCACTGACTAGTATGCCAATATGCAGTACTACCTTTTTTATTTTTTTCTTTTTGTTTTTCTAGAGAATTACAATAGAAGACAGCTAAACCCAGATTTCTATTGTTAAACTTCTATGTAAACAATAACAAAGGGTAATCACATAATTGCAAATGTATGGCAAGTTAATTGCAAAGGATGGAATGAGAAAGCATAGTGTTCTGTACCAGTGTGAATGAGCAGGAATGAGGATCCTTGTAGCAGTGCTATCTGAGAACCTGTTCAAAGTCAGAGTATATGCCAGAGGCAAGCTTTTAAATTTAATAACTGCAATCTCTTCCCTGTATGGCAAAATGCAAGCAACTTCCGTTGTAAATAAAAAACTATTAGTGTTTTGTGTTTGTTTGTTTGTAAGTATAAACCGTGATATGTTTATTTGTAATGGTTATCACAGTGACAATGCAGCACAGACTGTTTGTCTTTAGTATTTGTCTGCCAATCGTTTTTAAAACAGTTCCAATATTTGCAAATATTGAATATTTGTAAAATCTCCAGGCTAATTATGCATGAATAGTTTGTTTTAATAATCACCATATGTGGCTGAGCAATTAAGATGCTTACTCATTAGGGAAATCTAATTTAATATATTTTCAAAACTGCTTTGCTGAGTCAAAAAACTTTTTTTTTTTTTTTTTTTTTGACCTCTTTAGTTGGAAAATAATGGAGAATAAGTTGAGACTCGTGCTTGATACTGCCTTATGATTCTTGAATGATACATGGGAATATTTAAATACTGTTGTAATTGATTATTGATTACTGAAATCTTTTTAGTGCCAAATAATATGAGCTTTGAACACTAATAAGCAAAGTAATTTAGTTGGAAATAATGTACATTTGTCATTGTTCAAATGATTATAATACTAATCTGTACTACTATGTGAGTTTAATTCCCAGCCCCTTCAAAATCCTACATAGCACTTAAATCTGTAATCTGTAAATATTTCTTTAAGTAGTAGAAGGAGGGAACCATCGGAGTTCCTCAATACAAATGTTCTAGATTATACACAAAATTTTTGAAGAACAATTCCATGGCACAACTTTCACCTTAAACAATTGTATTAATGTTTTCAGTCTCCTTCAGACCATTCTTGCATTAATGCCATTTTTTGGCATTTGAGAAATAATCCAGATACAAAAATTCGTGCAAACAAACGTTCAAGGATGAGGCAACCATGTGATTTAATAAGTATCAACAGGAGAAAAATAATGCTCCCTTGGAAAAACGAAATCAAAAAAATTAAAGTTCAAGAGTGTGTATGTATATATATAGAGATAGATAGATAGATAATATTTAAAATGACTAGTAGCATCAGATAGGGAGAAGCTGAAGGCAGGATCTATCTCTATTCATGCTGACTTTTTGCTGAGTGGCTTTTTACTATTTACTTTAATGCTCATCATACTCTTTCAAATGACATCAGCAGCAGACACATTCTGTTATGCTTTCAAAATCCAGCAAAGATGCCGGGTATTCTTAAAATGCAGGCCAAGAGAATCAGCTGGCATTTTTCAGTCATTCAAGCATACATGTGAAGAAATGTTGCAAGGTAAAAGCTTCTCTTCAAATTTTCAGACGGAGAAATAAAGAAGTCAGATAACTGTTATAATTAGATTGCAGTCACTAATCATTGAGGCACTTGTACCTGCACATGCGCTGTAAATGATGTGAGAAGTCATACATGAGGTCTAAGCAGTTCTCCAAAAGTTTTGAAATAGTCAGTACTTTTTTCTATGTAGCATTTTGTAATGATGGTTCCCAAGAATATAGTCTTTATTTTGATAAGAGTGATTCAGTACAAAGACCTGCAGTTCCTCTCTATCTCACAGACCTGCTATGAATTTAGTCAGAAGTTTTTGACAGCTTTAATATAAAATACTGTAAAGTGAGTACTGTTAGCTAGTTGTCTTTTCATGCACACAAAAAAAAAAAATCACATAAAGTATTATTATTATGTGATATGTGAAGTTGATGGTTGTTCTCTCAAAATTCATGTGTTTTTTTTTTCCAGTCTAAAACGTATATGTGCAGTTGGCAAGGGGATACTCTGTGTTTCACAGTTGACTTTGCTCTGGGATTTACCTGTTTTGACAGCAAAACAAAGGTAAGAAGAAAAAGAAAAAGAGAAGAAAACATAACTCAGCTTTATTTCAGTGTTCTTGAAGTTATCAGTAACCCTATCTTTTATACTAATGTGGAGTATTTCTTTCTCAAACATACTGTATGTTTTGTTTATATAGCTCTACTGAAGTGCAGTCAGTCTGGGACTCGACGAGGGTAATCTATTTGTGCCATAGCATGTAAAGTAGATATTGGATAAATATATGTATAAAAGTAATTTCCTTTTCAAGCAATAATAGGAAAAGAAGGTTATTTGTAGCAGAGAACTTGGTTTCTTAGTAACGGAGAAACGTCCAGATTTTGAAAAGATTACCAGTCATGAAAAATATTGAACTTTCACCTATTTGTTCACATTCTATTTGTTTTGAAGCAACAGATATAAAATAGAATGAATTATTCTTCCATCATAAGAAATTTAGGCTATATCAGAACTGAACAGAAAAAGAGCAAATACATTTCAAAGTCAATCTATGTGATTAAATTCACTTTTCTTGCAAAACTGAGTGGCTTTTAAAGGACTATAGGGAATTGTTTATGGCATATGACAACTTCCAAACCATATCTATAATTCTACTATTTTAAATAAAAGCTGTCATCATTTTTTGTGAATTTATAGATTTGTTTCCTCGTGAAAATGAATTTACACTTAAAGAAGTTTCTACCTTAGTACAGCTGTTTAGTATAAGGTCTGTCCTCTAAAATATAGTCTGCAACTACTGAAATGATTTTACAATATATATTAAAGAAATTCATTTAGTCATTCTGATTTAAAAGAAAATACATTTTGAAATATTGATGCAGGATCTAGTTTTTATATGTTGGCATTTTTTGTATTTTTGGCTCAATTACACAAATATATTGAAATTTCAGCGCAAAGAAATAATAACCAGTATAATTGTTATATGGAAATTTAGACAACTTGTGCTGTATGTGCTATTCTATAAATAACATGAAAATTCAGAATATACTTGCATACTTTTCCATGCCTTTGGTGATACTACATTCTAAAATTGTACTCTTCATAGCACAATTTCCACATAGCCACAAATTAAGTATAGACAGTAATTGTCTAATTAATTTAGACTGTATAAAATGTTTATTTTAGATCTGAAGATTGATTTAGTGTACTCCTCCTTGAGAACTGTGAACTTCTCTGTTGATAGTCATTTTCACAAGACCAGAAAATTATTCATGATTAAAATCTCATAGTATGTAGAAATTCTACTAGTAGAACCAAAGTATTACCTATAGAAAGAGTAGGTTTTAAACCAGTGTGCCTACCATCATTATAGTTGATGTTGTGGAGGCTTCAAACAAACTTTGCTTTTGTAATATGATAAAATGGCTTGAGAAGTGACCTTAAAGACCACCTAGTTCCAACTCCCTGCTGTGGGCAGGGTTGCCATCCAGGGCTGCCCAGGGCCCCATCCAACATGGCCTTGAACACCTCTGGGGACATAGCATCCATAGCTTCTCTGGGCAAGCTGTTCCAGTGCTTCACCACCTCTGAGCAAAAAAATGCCTCCTAGTTTCTAACTTAAATCTCCCCTCTTTTAATTTAAAGCATTTCCCCTATCCTATCACTGTCAGACCATGTAAAAAGTCAGGGCTCCAGCCCTCAGAAATTCTTCATGACCCCCCTCTGGACCCATTCTAACTGCTCTGCTTCCTTCTTGTACTGGGGGCTCCAAGCCTATACACAGTGCTCCAGATGGGGCAGAGCAAATGAGCATAATCCCTTCCCTCTCCCTGCTGGCCTCCCCTCTTTTGATGCAGCCCAGGATACTGCTAGCCTTCCAGACTACAAGTGCACGCTACTGTCTTACGTTAAGTTCTCAATTCACCAGGATCCCCAAGACCTTCCCTGCCGGGCTGTTCTCAATGAGTTCTTCTCCCTGTCTGTAGACATATCTGAGATTGTCCTGATCCAAGTGCAACACTTAGCCTTGTGGAACCTTATGTGGTTCAGGTGAGCCTACTTCTCAGGCTTGTCCAGTTCCCTCCAGATGGTACCCTTTCTAGACCAGTCCCTGGGGTCCAGTATCTCTCTGGCAACCCTGTGACCATCCAACCAACTTCTTATGTACTGAATAGTCTACCTTTCGAATCCATGTATCTCCAATTTAGAGATAAGAATATGATGTGGGACCACAGTAAAAGACTTGCAGAAGTCCTAAGAGAGAAATAAAGAATAATGTTAGACATATTAATTCTCTTGTTAAACTGGAAAAATTCTGGAGAGCTCATATGCATTTATTGTTTTTCTCGGTGAGAGATGGATATGTTCTCTGTGTCTCCAAGCATGTGTGAAGCAATAATGAGCAGCTTCTACACTTAATTCTTACTGCCCATTAATGTCAGCTGAAGTTGATGGTGTTGCCCCACAATCTTAGGGTTTTTTAGAATATTTCTTTCCAACACTGAATAAGTTTGAAGTAACAAAGTAATTAACATTTCATTAGGGACACAGCAATTCTGCTGAAAAAAATATATGTTCTAGACAATGAATTTCAAATTAAGGTGAACTTTTGATGCAAAAATAAAAATCTTACAGCGCAGCAGGTGCTCATACTGGCTTATTAAAATGCAGGGCAGTCTCCTGGTCTGACCTACAACTCTAAGTCTGGATCACACATTTTGGGCAATCAGCTCACTTACTCATTAAAAATGTTCTTTATTACAGTTTGTAAAGAGATTGAAGGAGAGCCTTCTGCATTACAAATGACAAAATAAAAAGGGCAAGAACTTTTCCCTAGGAGTTTATGCATCTTTTAGAAAACTCTTCATTAGAACAATTCTGAAGAATTGTCAAACATATTTGAAATAATTACTTCATTTCATATGTGTTGTGTTCTGAGGCTGTTATGGGACTAACTCGTTCAGATATGGGGTACATCACAGAGACATCTTGCAGTGCAGCTGCTTTGTATCTGATCATAGAGTTTTTCTCTATCAGTTAGCTTACCTGATTCATTTGCCCTTCCACTGTGCCTGCAGCTATGCATCCAAGATAAAGAGATCCCAAAGTATTCATATTCTTCTGCCTTCCAAAGCCATCTCTTTTCCCCTCTATGTCAACTATGGACTTCAGCAATGCCTGTTATTGCTAAATTATTTTTGTTTTGTCCTCCTCTTAGAAGTCATAGTATATAGTGAGCATTCATCTTTACTATTTAGATATACACCTGTTTAAGATTTGAATACCATTCAGGCAGTCCAATCAAGCCCTCTGGATTCAGTTAAAATTTGTTTATTAATGTAAAGTTTCAACAACTTCACAGTGCTGTAGTAAGGGGCAGTGATGTTCCTGTCTGCAGGGAACCAGAAGATGAAGTCAGAGATTTCATAAAAATTTCATGCCTTGTTTTTTTGTATAAACAAGTGTACAAATAATTATTTTGTTTATAGAGCATTCTCTCTCAAACTAAGAGTAGGATTCTAAAGATCATGAAGAAAATCATTGGAATCTATGAGGTGGCTGTTGTCATTTTATGTAGTGATTATCACGTTTATGAGTTGTCCTTGATTCAGGTTGCCCATATCCACTACAAAAGCAAAACTGTTGTCTAATGAGACATAAAAAATCTTTGTTTTCTCTTTCTTATCCTAATTATCTCTCAGTCTGATATTTCTTATATTCTCCACTGTGGTAGCACCAAGATTAATCACAGTGAGGATATGTTAATAATAATTTTTTTATTATCACCATTGATATCAAGGTTTCTATTGTAATAATTGGCAATGTTGTGAAGAAATAACAAAGTACTAATGAGTAAGGCAAACTTGAATTTACTAACTATATGGCAGGATTACACTGTGTACAGAGTAATTCTAAACTCACCAGAATGTCTCTGCTCTCAGGTAGTGAAAATATCTGTTTAAAGTCATATGGAAAGAAATGATGTTTCTGTAATGACATCTGAGTCACAAAGCAGCTAAACCGCTCCAAATCCAATGCTATCTAGAGAATATTGGAAAAATTCACAGATAAAAAGTAAGAAAATTTCCAAATGAAGATATCGCTGGCCCACATGAAGAAAGTATTTTGCAGTAAGGTATACTGAAAAATGGAACAAAGCCAAGTTTTTCTGACTGTGTGATTTTGAAATGGCCTTCAAAGAATTTAAATTGTTTCATCAGCACTGTCCGGAGACTGAATCACGTTTTGCCACATAAATAAAATTTTCACTAACATTATAGATATTAAGAAAACATCAGCAGAAGGTTTGTATGCAGTCTGTTAGCTATTTTTTGTAATTATATATTTGTAGAGTATCAATAGAAAACATTCAAATACGCAAGATGATATTGATTTCAAAAGCACGGTTTCCTAGCATTTGCTTTTGAAAAATATCCCCATACCAATTAAAAAATTCCTGTCAATCTGTGATTTGCCAGCAACTGTAAGTGCTGCATATACTTGCAAGAATTCTAGAGTTCCTGTATATTTTAGAAACAATTGTGTAATTTAGAACATATCTTCTATAATTTGCAAGACCAAGATTTTTTTTTTTTTTTTTAAATAAATATAGCATATTTATAGGATATTTAGCATATTTATCTTTGGATTTCAAACCACTTCAAAAATGCTTTTTGACCAAGGTATATTGAGCACTACAATGTCTGACACTTATCTACATTGTGCAGATGAGCCAGCTGAAAGATGACAGATCAAGATATGAAATTGTGAAATTGTGTTCATTAGGATAAAAATATCCTAATGAATACTTCTAGAAATAATCTTTTGTCATGGATATTGAAATTATATCATGTAGGCAATGGAATCATTCAAATTTCAGAGAATTTCCATATTTTTTTTTAATTAGTGTGTATTAATATCATGTCTTTTTTTCTCAGACATGATGCAAAGCTGTTAATTTTATTTGCTCTGCAGCCAGCTTGTGTTTACTGCCCTAATGCTTTATCTTAATATATAACCATTAATCATTTATCTGTAGTTTTAGGTAACTGTGTAACAAGTCCTTAATCAAATTTCTTTCTCTTCAGAACGTACTGTGGAGGTTTAAATTCTCTCAGCTGAAAGGCTCTTCAGATGATGGGAAAACAAAAGTAAAGCTGCTTTTTCAGAATCCAGACACCAAACAAATAGAGACAAAGGTAAGTGACATAATCTTTCTCAGCTTAGTGAAAAAATGAAATGGAACATTCAATTCCATTTACTGCTGCACTTGCATTTAGTGATCTGCAAATCATAGTTTATATACTTTTATCCTGCTCTATAGAAACTCCACAATGAAAAGAATTGATGTAGCATCTCTAGATTTATTACACTATTTGTACAAATCTGTTACTGAGTTGTGTTTTGATGGCATAATAATATAATATCTAAAAACTTTTTAAAGAGGATGAAGCAAAAAATATATCTATTTAACTACTAAATACAAATTGTAGACTAACAACTTCAAGCAAATACAAGTTTAAGATTTACAGATAAAATAGTGTAATATTTATTAGCTTAACAAAAAAGAAATAATCTCCCAAGAGGACAAGTAATTCTTGAAACTTACTCTAGTGCATTCAGTTCTGTGACTGGGGAGTGCTCAGTGCTTCGCAAGATCTAGCATTAACTTGCAGCAACGTCCATCCACTACTGAGGATGAGATACTGATGTATTTTATCTTCTAGTGATTATCAGATCTGGTTGTGAAACTTAGAATTCAGATTCCCAACTGAAGTTCATCAGTTTCTAATTCAGGATTGTACTTTGAATCATCATCTGGAGATATACTTGTAATGCCTCAATCTGGTCTCAGATTCTCTCTGTGAACCTGGACTTCTTACAGTTGTACACATAACCAAAAGGGTAGGATGGAAATTGGAGAAATGAATTACCAAGGCAGTGATCACTGATGAATAAAGACAGTGGTGAATAATTCAAGAAAACATAAATAAATGAATTGAGAATTATTCAGTCATTATTCAGTGAAAGGAATGAGGATAACTTTGATGTGATATAACAAAGAAGATAAGCTAAGAGTGAATTCAGCTTCCAACTGATATTTGGTAGACAAAACTCAATGAAAACAAAAAGCACATATAAATCTATTTGAAAATTTTCACTTTTACCCAGAATTACACAGGTTAAAGTGACTTATAAAGTGAAAATTTGCTACAGTGACCGTATTACAAAGGTAGTATAGATAATACCTTCAATTATTCTTTAAAATGTTTTAAAAAAAACCTATAAGGAGATAATCTCTAAACTTCCTTGTTCATCATAAAGCAACAACAAATATAATATGTCTTTCTTTGTACATCTATATTTATAAATTATTCATTTTTTCACCAGCAAACTTAAACTCAGTTATCTGTTGACACTGTAGTAGCAAATACAGTAATATCATAAAAGATACAATGCTATAATAATATGGCTATAGTAGCAGGTCATTTCCACTTCATTTCTGATGGTTCTCCTTGGAGACATAAAGGAACTGCTATCATCACTATATACGTGATCATCTGTTGGATAGAATTTAAGTAACTTGTTAAAGGTCAGACAAAAGAGCATGCTGTTGCCAAAAAATACAATCTCAATTTTGGGGAATCTGTGTATTAATCATCAGCTTATTCATGCATGATTGGTCACGTGTCCCTGTTCCTCTTCTCGTTCTTTACTTTATTCTCCTTTATTCTTTACTTTTAAGTTTATGCTTTTATTTTCACTTTAATGCTTTTTAATTGAAGAGTTTTATTCTTTAAATTGAAAAAATGAATTTATATGAAATTTTCATTAGTTATTAATTTGATAAAAGTGAGTCCTAATGATACATAGCTATTACATATATAGGTTCATACAGAATTCTAGATAGCTATGTACCTAAATGTACACGTGCATTGTAAATGTTGGAGGAGCCCAGGGAAAGTACATTAAAGGCCAGCTAAGCAGCTGAGGATTTATCAGGATTTCAGTGAGGCATAGGCCTTTTGTTATGTACCTCTACCATTAAGATTTCACATTAAATGGAAGTGGGATACAGCTATGCAGACTCTCCACTTCAGATACTTGGTTTATATATTCAAGTATATGTCTATCACACTCCTAAATGGTATTATTTCTTAGACGTTGGGATTACAGACTAATCATGAAATAAGTTGTGCTTATACCATACTATACTACAATGTCTGCCTCAGCTTAGTGTACTGAAAGAACCAGACAGTGCTGTATGATGAAATGCCACCAATAATCAGAAACAGAGAATGTCACCAAATGATAAAGTTTCATTTCCACTACATGTGAAATAAAGCTTGATACAGACTTATAGAACATTCTACTGTATGTTGCTTGTCTCCTATGCTTTCCAACTGTTATGCATGTAACTTAAGAACTGTGCATATTTGTTTGACTACATACAGTACTCTTTCTTCACTGACATCACAATTATACACTTTTGCAATTAGACTGCAGTACAGTCTTGCTGCAAATCCTATGCTGTTTAAAAAAGGCAGTTTCAGGAGAGTGATTGTGGACAGATCAGCAAGTGTGATTCTTTCTTTAGATTTACTATTTTCACCTGAGAGAAAATTTATTCTGTGTTAGTACTGCTTAGAGATAAAGGAAATTAAATAGTGCAAACAGAGCTCTCTATTTACAGCAACATTGATCTCTAATATTAAACAGCCATAATATAGCACTCACACACTTCTGTATTTTATTAACATGGCTCTTTTCTTGCTGAAATCTGGCAGTTTACTACTGAATATCTTAACAGCGTGAAAAACATTTGCAAGATGATGATGGACATTAGTTAAGACTTTGACTGTGTGACAGTATTGGGCAGTCTGATTGCTGCTGGAATTTAGTTTATATTTGCTGGAAGGGGTGACTTTAGTTGGCTGCATTTAGACAAACATCTCCAGAAAACTTCTCAGATGTTTTCTGTCTGCCAGTGGAACATTTGAAAGTGTTCCAGATTTGATGGTAGACGGTGGCATTTGGAATCACTGAAACCGGCAGTGAAAATCCATTTGATTCATCCTTATCCTTGTAGGGCACTGTTAAAAGACTTAAGGACAATTCATAGACTTGTAATTCATCTGGCATTACATTTTGTCATAATGGATCTAGTTCTTACATTGGTAAGAGCACCATTTTATCTTATCTTTTGTTTGTGTAAATGACATTTGCAAAAAGGAGAGCAAATAAAACCTTACAGCTGAACAAGCCTTCACACTCCTTTGTGTTTACCAGGGGAATGTCATGCTTAACCAATCTGGTGGCCTTTTATGATGGAGTGACGGCATCGGTGGACAAGGGAAAGGCAACCGATGTGATTTACCTGGACTTGAGCAAGGCCTTTGACATGGTCCCCCACCACATCCTTATCTCCAAATTGGAGGAACGTGGATTTGATGGGTGGACCACTCGATGGATAAGAAAGTGGTTGAAAGGCCGCAGACAGAGGGTGGTCATCAATGGCTCTATGTCCAGGTGGAGGCTGGTAACGAGCGGCGTCCCCCAGGGGTCTGTCTTGGGACCGGTGCTCTTTAACATCTTTATCAATGACATCGATAACGGAATCGAGTGCACCCTCAGCAAGTTTGCTGATTACACCAAGCTGAGTGGTGCGGTTGACACGGTGAAAGGAAGGGATGCCATTCAGAGGGACCTTATCAGGCTTCAAAGGTGGGACTGAGTGAACCTTATGAGGTTCAACACAGCAAAGTGAAAGGTTTTGCATTTGGTCTGGAGGAATCCCAGGCATTTATACAGACTGGAAGGAGCAATCCTTGAAAGCAGCCCTGCAGAGAAGGACCTGGGGGTCCTGATGAACGAAAAGCTTAACATGAGCCAGCAGTGTGCTCTTGCAGTTTGGAAAGTAAGTGGTATCCTGGGCTCCATCAGAAGAGGGGTGGCCAGCAGGGACAAGGAGGTGATTGCCCCCCTCTACTCTGGTCTTTTGAGGCCCCATCTGGAATACTGCGTCCAGGCCTGGGGTCCCCAGTACAAGAAGGACAGAGAGCTGTTGGAGAGGGTCCAGAGGAGAGCCACGAAGATGATCAGGGGACTGGAACACCTCTCCTACAAAGACAGGCTGAGGGAGCTGGGCTTGTTCAGCCTGGAGAAAAAAATGCTGCAGGGTGACCTCCTTGCAGCCTTTCAATACCTAAAGGGAGCCTACAAACAGGAGGGGAATCAACTCTCTGAAAGGGTTGATAACAGCAGGATGAGGGGAAATGGTTTTAAGTTGAGGGAGGGAAGATTTAGCTTGGATGTCAGGGGGAAGTTCTTTACTATGAGAGTGATGAGGTGCTGGAACAGGCTGCCCAGAGAGGTTGCGGATGCCCCGTCCCTGGAGGTGTTCAAGGCCAGGTTAGATGGGGCCCTGGGCAGCTTGGTCTAATATTAAATGGGGAGGCTGGAGGCCCTGCATGTGGCAGGGGAGTTGGAGATTCATGATCCTTCAGGTCCCTTCCAACCCTGGCCATTCTGTGTGATTCTGTGTATTTTTATAACAGTCTTAACAAGCTGGGCTGTATTAGTACATTTGTTATTTTCAACCACGATATGATAGTCAAGCCCTGGTGTATTTGCTGAAATTTAGAACTAAATTTAGAATTTCCTGTTCTGTTTTGACTTCCACACGGACTAGAGCTAAAACCTAGATACCATTATCAGTGTTGTTTTGTTGTTCTGTTTGTTTTTCCCAAAAAGTATGATTAGCATTTCAGTTGGAAGGAATGAAGTTATATGCTGAAGAATACAGTAGTTGCACTCTTGTCAACAATTAATAAACATGGAGATTCATGAATGTTCTATAAGAAGTCAAGAAATACACGGGGTACAATAACACTGTCAATACCTACGTTATCTGCCTCTTACGTTATACAGGCTGATGTCTTGCTCAAATAGTGATTCAGTAGCTCTCAGAAATAATCAATAAAATTAAGTATATGTGTGGTAGCGATGCAACAGCCCTCTTAAGCTCTTTATGATATATAATATATCCAGCTGTTACAGGTGGGTGGGCAAAACAAATCCATACATTTTTCTTACCTGTCTGTGCACATATAGTGATCAAGATCAGTGCACTGTGCACATATTTAATATTCTCAGTATCAGCTTGCAGTTTTGCAGACTTGTATTCACACAGGTTTAATCCAATCTTTCATTTTCTTTGTTGTATTTTACTTATTAGGATGCATATAATTAACTGAAATAGTCTTGGTTATTGAAATACTAGATATGTAAAATTTTTTCGAAATGCTTAGAAACAGGCAATCTTGATTAAGGTAAGAATAGTAATCACAGAGGAATCAGGCAAGCAGAAGAGTAGAGTTAGGTTATACAGGGCAAATGAAATGTTCAGTTAGTTGTCTGTCTGGCTGAGTATGAGAAGAAATATATTATTTTAAAAAATAAAAATAAATTAAAAATAACGTATCAATTCATTTATTTGAAAGAATTTTAATTGGTGTTCTTTCATAGAAATAAGTTGGTATTTCCTATTCTAAGTGTTGTCTGCAGTCAAAACACAGTTCTGTCAGTAATGCGTCCATTTCAACTATGTATAAATTGTGTAATATAGAAATAAGAGCATATCATTAGTATCCAAAAGATGAATCACGGCAGATTAGACAAGATCTTTGAGATACACAGGAGGGACCCTCCACCTTAGCATGTATTCTAAACTCATAGAAACAGTGAGAACTCTACAGTAGGGGCACTGAAATGGGTGAACTCCTAGTGATGAGACATACCTGTATTTGCTCTTTTCTTATCCAAAAACTCTAGCAAAATAGTATTGCTGGAACACCCTGAAATTCTGCCTACAGTATGTGTTAGGTGTCTCTGATCACTTATCTTGATGAATATGTGAATGAATCTTGGAAATGAATATATCTCCAATATGGGAATGAAATGGTTTGTGAAGGGCTCTTGTCTCTGAGCACCTTTGGCTGCAGTTAGTCAAAGTATCAAGTGTTAGAATGAGTAGTCAGAACCTGAGGTTAAATTGTTGAATAATTTCATTTCATTCTGAAGCAAATCTAAGATTAAAGTGAGTACTTTCATATTTTATAGTTTGTTGCCTTTACAGATTTTAATTCAGGAGATTTAAACCTCTGTTTAAACCTTTAAAACCTTTGTCTTGTAAATCCTTTTATGACTTGTGTACATTGTTTTAGTTTTATAAATCCTAAACAATGAGAGTTAAATAATGGCACTACTTCTTAAGGAAAGTGTTTATATTAATTTTACAATAGATATATACTTAATTCTTTATGTTCATATGTATCAATCAAAATGGAAAAAAAAAACCACTTCTTTACTCCCCCAAAAATCAAAACGAAGATTACATGTGCTTAAGTTCTTCAAAGGATTTTAATGAACATTTACACTTCGTTTTTCTTCCTCAACAAGATCTAATTTTGAATATGAGGCCCAAATGAATACTTCAGCAACTGAATGCCAATTATTACAGGTTACCTAAATGCTTGGTTTGATATAATTTCTCAAGAGATTTTTCTTCTTTTAGGGTAATTATTTCTTAAGCTGTTGACTTGCAAGTACACAAAAGCAGAAGGTTGAGAGTAACATCCCTTAATATTATTTTTTTCCTCCTTATTTAACTAGATATGAATGATAATAAATAGCACATTCTGCCCATCGGTTATATTGGCTCACACATGTTATGAAGTATGGCATTTAAAGGAATAGGAGTTGACGAACTTTTTTTTTTGGTGAGATATATGATGGTTGCAACACCTTTCAGAATACAACATATTGATAAACTTGTGCTGGTTGTCTACAGACTGGAAGTAGCATGAAGTGCTATAGCAGTTTGTATTCCACTTCACATGCGTGGAATGGCATATTCAGAAAGCTCAGCATTGTAGTAAAAAGTATCAAATTATTTATCAGATGATGAATTGCCCAAGACATATTATATGCATATAAATATCTCTGCTTACGTATTCTTTGCAGGACTTAGGGGCTGAAAGCATTGTTCTCTTAGGCTTCTGTGTGCACTTTGTAATCACTTGCTGCCAAAGCTTTCTCTGTCTGAAAGTTACAGTGCGTGAGAAGGACTTTCTGAGAGCTTCCTTGGATGTTTGGTAGAGAACAAAGGTACTTGTAAGACTACTTAGCGTGATAGAAAGAGCATATTCTGGGAGCATGTTGAATATGATCCCCTTACACTTTTTGTACATTAATATTGCTTATTGTCACCTTATGCTGGAGAAAGTAGATGGTAACAGAAGTTATATTTGTCTGAGAATAATAAATTTGCTTAGTGGAAAATAAAATCCCTGAGACAATAAGCTGTATATGCCTGAGGTTTTAAAGAAATCGTGCACAAGTGTTGGAAAAAATCCTTGTAGTCTCATCTTCATCACGAACTGGAGCCCTCAATGCATAGACATTAATATTTATTGCAGAGGGAGGCTGTGATTGTTTCGCTTCTGTGGATCATTTCTGGTGACAGGTGACAGGACAAGGGGAAATGGCCTTAAGTTGCATCAGGGGAGGTTTAGATTGGATATCAGGAAAAACTTATTTACAGAAAGGGTTGTTAAGCACTGGAATAGGCTCCTCAAGGAGGTGGTTGAGTCACCATCCCTGGATGTGTTTAAAAACCGTTTTGGATGTGGTGCTCAGGGACATAATTTAGCAGAGGGTTGTTAGAGTTAGGGTAAAACGGTTAGATCATGGTTGGACTTGATGATCTTTAAGGTCTTTTCCAACCTGAGCGATTCTGTGATTCTATTATTCTCAAACACTGGAAGTCTGATACCACCTTGTCCTTCTTCTGCCTTTTCATTTTCCACATCTTCAATCACAGTCCCACTAGAATCCCTATTTCCAGAATGAAGCAGTGGAAAGCCAAATATTGACTTTGTTTTATTCTGCAGTATGTGAGGTAGAATAAGTGTGTAAAATTTACATTCCTCTATTTGCAGCCTAATCAATATAGAAAAATCAACAATGAACCTCTGGGTTTGATCATTTTAATCAAAAATATATATGCATTAAAATAATTAAAAATCTCCAGTAAGTTCATTTCATCCAGACTCTTGGCGATATTATACTGTGAAAATTCTTGTGAGAATTTGTTTCAGAGGGAAATTGGATGGAAATGCTGTGACCAGTATCTCACCTATTAGTTGTGTCTACTTAACAAATCCATACTGATTTTATTTCCACTGAGCCAGATATAACTTTTTCTCAAAACAAAGCATTGTACAGTCACCCTGAGGAACTTACCAAGCAGAAGCAAAGCAAAGAAATATGGCTGAACTAATTCACAGATTTTCCCTGAACATTGTTATGGCTCATGAATCTCACCTAATGCTTACAGTTTGCTTTCCAGTAATGAAATCACAGTATCACTTACTGTGTATCAGCACATAGTTTAGCTATTATGTGCCTGAGATGTATGCAGTGACCTCTCATTCTGGTAATACTTTACTGCCACAGAAATCAGTATGATTACTATCACATAGCAGAGAGATATAAAATATTTATTAAATGTAATACAAATATCTGTCACTGTAGCTGTTACTTACGGCACAGTATGTTCGTATACCAAGCTGTTTGCAAGGATACCTGTCTTGTTATCTTCAGCTTCTGAAGGAATCAACCTATCTCAAACTAAAAAGCCAGTAAAATAAAGCTGTTGAAAAATAAAATAAAATAAAATAAAATAAAATAAAATAAAATAAAATAAAATAAAATAAAATAAAATAACAACAACAACAAAACCCACAAAAGTATGTATTAAAGGTACATATATCTGGAAAGAGCTTAATCACAAGAGAATTGGAAGTAGGATAATGAGAGATATTGGAAAAATAAAAGCTGTAATGGAAAAATAACTCTCTAACGCCAGAAATCTTTCAGTGAACACAATACATCTGGATAAAATGGAAAATAGAGTTTCTGACTACAATTAAGCATTCATTAGGAGTAATACCATTCCTACCTAGCAAATATACAGACTTCAACAGAAAAGTGGTGTGAAAGTTAGCTTTTCTTGAACAGGAATAAATTCCAAATATTCTGTCTGAGGCAATTTTTGTTCAGAAAATACCATAAAGTACTGTGATATGAAAAGCAGAAGTGCTTAAATTTTCATTTTAAAATAAACAGGATATTTCCTGATATGCTATTGTATAACCAATACGTTAAATAAATGTCCTGTTGAAACCTTCTCCACAAACCAAAAACCATACAGAATGTCTGGTTGCAGAGTCTGTAAATATTACTACTGTGTAAATTGAATATGCTTTTTTTTTCTGTGTTTTTTGTCATGGCGTCAGAATATCACTTTATTTCTCTCCGGGAAGACTGGGATACGGAATTGTCATTTATGGCACAGAGGATGAAATATTTAATAATATAGTCAAAGGAATTTGAGAACTAATTAGGAGTAACTCTACCTTTCTTGCTGAATTAGGGCACATGAATTTCAAACATCCATATTTATATGTGCAAACTGTGGCGTGACTTTACCTTTGCTTCCATTTGCCTCTGGCCTCACAGCTTGCTTCTTTGACTGTCCATGGAGGCTGCCAAACTCTGTGTCCTCCTCACCCCCCCCGAATGGGACCTGAAACCACATCTTTAAATTCAGATATTTTAAAACATGGGGTGATATCTGAACATTCTTGCAAGTTAAATGTTTTGATTGTCTAAACTGAGGGAATTGTAAACAGTGAAGCAACAAAGGATGAAAACTGAATTGACATACAGCAATGCCTGTGAATAAGCTATGGATAGACATCTTTATTCTTAGCACATTTAAATTTACAGTTCCTTATAAATATTCAGATTTTCTATTTAAGTTCATTGTTGTTGACTAATGAGTCATTTCTGTACTTTTGTCAAATGGTTATTAACCTGAATTTGAATTTTTTCTTTTTTTTTTCCTCTTGCTTTCTCTTTCAGGAACTTGAATTTCAGGATCTGACGGCAGTTTTACATTGTATTCACTCCTTTATAGCTGCAAAAGTGGCATCTGTGGATCCAGTATTCATAGACAGCCAGAGTATTGCAAGAAAATATATGTACAGTAACTGATATAAATGTTGTGACTATGGCAAATAAATTATTTTCTTAAAGAAAGTAGTTATTTCATGCACAATATTGCAACTTTGTGATTTTCTAAGTCTGTGGTTGTGTTATCTGTAATGCTAACAGTTTTCACACTTTGTTTAACATTTTGAATCTATGAGTTAACAAATATTAAATCAAACTGAATCAGTTTGTTGTCTTCAGCACTAATCTAATATTCAGAGCAGATATTCATTCAGTAACATCTGTGGTGTCATTTTGATTTCTGTTTTCATGGTCATGTATATCTACCCATATATTAGATAAAAACACAAACTAACATTTGAAAATGTATGTCCAAAAATTAGGTTTTTTAAGTGTATTTTGAAAATTGCTGGGCACAATTTCTACAGTCCTCACTGAAAAGAACTGATTATTGTACAAAACTACAATAGCAATTGGACTTTCACCTTGCTTTGATGTGTTTGAAAATCTATAGTTCCTTGGTCCAGTGTTTTTGAGGCCAGAGAGTTAGATCTGGCATAACACGAAGTAATCTATCTCAGACTGAGGAAAAGATTGAAGCCCATACTTGATTCTGGCTTTAATATGTAGCCTGAGTGTATGCAGAAGGTAATGCTACATATGTATTTAAGTACCTTGCCAAATCAACTGAAGAGCTTTGTTCTAAGCTAAGGAGCCTAACTATCAGCATTGCTTTGTAGAAAACTTGCCATAGGATTTTCTTATCTATCAATAAAGCTTCCATGAATCATTCATACACATCACTCATAGATTCCCTTAACAGTAACCTCCAATGTGATGCTCAGTAACTTCTTTGTTTGACAGAGGATGCTCTCAGTGGGGTGAACATAAAGAATTTTCTGGGACATCCACCTTCTTTTTTTTTCCCCCCACACCTCTAGCACTGTCTTACATATATGCTTAAACACAAATGAAAAGAGGATATGGGTCTATTTTTTGGCTTGTTCTTAAAATTTCTTCTGAAATCACTTTCTTATTTGCACAGATAACGCTTCCCGTTATTAAAAAACTATTGAAGGAAGACATTTTAATTTTAGGGGTAAGTAACAAGTATTCCAGGCTTCTGTGATAAAAATCTCAGTTGTTTTCAACTGTTGTTTTGAGGCAACATCGTGCAATATTATGATTTTTTGAGAAATGTAAGAAAAAAATATTAAAAATTAGGCAATGTACACAATGCATATGGATCAATGTAATCAAACGTTCTTCTAAATTTTAGTTGTCTAAAAAGTATCCTGCTAGAATAAAAGCCTAGAATCACTGTATGCTAAGGAAGGTAGATAGGTGCCTTTAAAAGCTCTCAGGTGAGGAGTCTTTTTACCTAACTTCAGTGTCTGAATTTAATTAGAAAGGTTCCACCTCTGTCTTAAGGCAGGTAACTGTCTTGAAAGACAGCAGTGGAGCCTTGGGCATTATTTTAAAGGAATGCTTATCTGCCTACCTAAAGCATAAGCACAATTAAAGTGCTTATACTTGATGATTTGATCCTACCATAAAGATTGCCTACTTGCAAAGTGGTATCTTGAGAGAAATTAATTTAAATGATTCTGTTTGCAATTCCACCGTTTTTTACAGATCTAATGTTTGCAAGGAGGGTTAGTAGGACAGCCAACTCCCTTTAAAACATTTTTTTTTAAAAGCTGAGCAATTTTTTTATTAATTGTAAATAAATTTTTGTAACCATTACAGTATTTTTAACAAACAGCATCTCAATTTTATGTCTAAAAAAATTAAACATTGTCACACTCAAACATTATATTCAAAAATTTTAATTTAATTTTCAGCTTTGCTTTTAAATTTCAGCTTTTTGTGTTTACTGAGATTTTAACATTCACAAATGGTAGCATTAAAAACTGAAAGGCTTTCTTATAGTCAATTCTCAATTATTAGCATGAAAAATTACAGATTACAAAGTGACTATAGATTGAAGCATGATGGAAATCTTCCTCTGTTTTGCTTTTATTCTTTTACGTACAAATTTCAGCACTAGCAAGGCACTAGTGTAACTTGAGTGGAAAAATGTACTACTTACCACTGGATTAAGACTATGATCAGGCATCTAGGCAATGTTATAAGTATGTTTTAAGTGCAATGAAAAGCACAGCTTATCTTTCCAAATATCTTTCCACTAGCAGATATGATATTGAGTGAATGTCTAGTGCCATGAATTTAAATCAGAGAGAGGTATATCACTGCCATATAAACTAACAATCACTACAGCATAGACTAGGGCACTGGACTTGAACAATGCTATTGATTTATTAATCCAGTTCCTGGCATTCTTTGATCAAAGTTAATTAAAATCTGCAGAAAAATTCCTGTGTACAGTTATGAGCTGAGTGAGCTCAGGTCTGTTCCCAGTTAGTGGTTTTGATGTTTAAAACATCAGGAGTTTAGTAGATATGATGTGTGTAGACCATGCCAGATGGCCTTGGGGGTAGAAAATGAGCCCTGACAATTTCAGTTTTAAATTTAGATGCTGCTGTAATTAAAGCATAGAATTACAATATGGTGCCTGTGCTGAACCAGCCATTGCTCAAATTCTGGAAATCCAACTTAATTCTTTTTTCTCTAAGATCTTAAGAAACGGTTAGTGTTTCAGAGTGATAGCCACTCTTGTGCCAGTAGTCCTAAAACTTATTACACTTATTATATTATTATCTGTGGGGGATAGCGAGAGGATAAATTCTAGCAGACATTGCAATCCTAAATCTACAACCTAAATGTTTTCTATCTGAACTACATTAATTCCTATATAACTTCTAAAAAGGAATGCCTTTTCAGCAAAATGTGTAGGCCAATCTTTGTTGCATAAGTAGTATTTATAAATGGCTGAATTTCTTTCTAAGGAGATTACCATAAATGTTTCTATGGTCCGTATTTTGTAGCATCTCCTCACTTCCCTGAATATCATAGTGAAGGGAGTGTAGTTGCAGTATATTTTTTCTGCTTTTTTTTTAACAAGATGATCTAAGGCAGTGAAGTTCACACACCTGTTACAGCTTCTCAGTACATAGTGTTGCAGTGCTGAGGAGTTGGCATCTGTTTCCTTGAAAGAGTACAGAAATGCTCCTGCATGCAGAGCTCTGCCTTGGAAGCCTCCACCAGGAGAAGAGCCATTTCTACCTTTCCATGAAAGGAGACTGAGTGCGAGCTCTGAGTTGCCTCTACATGCTGCCTGTGTCTGTGGCAACAGATAGAAAAGTATGTATTTTCTCTGCTAGGTCAACTTGATCTACTGTAGTTGAGTTTTGGTTCAATGTAGTCTGTCCAGGTCCTCCAGTAAGCTTCTGAGAGCAAAGAGGATAGGCATTAGGAAGTAGTCTCTTTCCTCTGCACATTTTTGAGAGATGTCTGTGGTGATTTCTGTCCACCTTTCCGATGTATGGGAAGTGGATCAAAGCATTGCAAAACTTGAGGCAGGGCAAGGATAAACAGATGGACTGACTGTGCAATCTTAAAAGTCTTTTTACTCAAGCATGCAAGCTGCAAGTAACTATCACTCTGCATTTCATAGAGAAATTCTTCTTTCAGTGTACTCCTGTTTTACAATGATAATCATTGAGATATGGTTGCTGAATAGGTAACTTTAAAAGTCAGTAATGCTAAATGTATCATTTATTTATAAACTCATGTATCTAATTTCTTAAGGTGTGCTTCAAAGACATTTAGATACTTCTTTGTTGAAGCATGTTGAGAAGGGATTATCTCATGTCAAATAAAGACTTTGTAGTAAATTTGTTAGAAAGCACAAAAAGGACTTGTGCAGCATGCAAGATGTAATTGAAGATCTATTTTAATCTGATTCAATCAGAAGAATTCCACAATAAAATCTTTTCATTAAATTTAAATTCATTAAGAACCGTGTACTCAAGCCAAAATCCACTCCTGTTTAGGAACAGACTCCCAGTGACTTAAACAGGACATAAACTGAAAAATCAGAAAAAGATGTACTATTTTAAATAATCCAGACACAGAGAAAAGAAAAAAACACTTTTGAATGAGAAATCAAATTCCACTTATTGGACTGGAAGTTATAACCTTTCAGTTGGAAAGGCTTGCATGGTGCCTTGTAGGAATTGCAGTGATGCAGGTATTGATACCTGCAGTCCTCTAGTCCAGATGTATAATATGCTCTTTTTTAAAATATTTTTTTTTTAGAAAAGAAACATGATATATTGCGTAAGTCTCATTACACTGGGAATTGAGAGTGACAGAAAGGTCAGAGCTGCGTAGGGACTGAGTTGCACAAGAGCCTTCTGCTCTTGTAAACACTGCAGTGGTAACATGTAGGGAAAGCATTACAAGCCAAAAGATTTTAATTTCTAAAGAATGTGAGGATACAGGAAGGAAATTCTGTTAGAGAAGGGTTGGAGATTTTTACTGGTGGTGCTTGTTGGCTGTTTTTTAATGCAGAAATTCATTTTTTACTAGAAATCGGATTTACAGGAATTGGAAGAACATAACAGAACAATTGGATGAAAGGTATATAATGTTCATACGTCTAATTTCTTACTGCTGTTAGAGCTGTGAGAGTGCTTCATTCTTTCTTTATTTAATGCTTAGCTGATTGTGACTGTCATAGATCTGTAGGATTTCCAGAATACCAAACAAGGAAAGGTTAAATGTAAAAATAAATGATTTTATTTTTCTCTCAGTTACAAACTGTTCTTGGAATATTATTTGTCATATTTATAGCGTAGGAAGCCTCCAGATCCTTACATTCTTCAAATATGGTGGAAACATCACATTCAGTGTTATATACATTATTATTAATGTAAAATGAATTTGTGTAGAAATTAGTTATCTAATCTCTATTGATCAGCTGGTCTCAACTCTGTAATCACTGCAGAGAAACTGGAAGTGGCGAGGAGTGCTTTCCTCCCACTTGCTCAGAAGGCCTAAAACCAGTGGACTGAATCATGTTCTGAAAAGATATTCATCTTTCTCCATCAACCAGCTGAGGAGGCAGGGAGCAGTGGGGAGGGAAGAGATTAAAAAAAACCAAAACAAAACAAAAAAAAAAAAACAGAGCCTGTTTTCCAA